ATATTTATCCTTTTGAGCTGACGTATAAATAAGTCTGCAGGATTCTCAGCAGAACAGCACAAAGTGTTTTTAAACAGTGAGTCTGATATTTACTGAAATTAATGCTTTGCTCTTTAAATGTGATGCATCAGAGGCAGAAACTGGAGTGTCTGTGAACTTGAGCCATTAAGAGGAATCCTTTATAAGGCCTGTTGGAAACAGCTAACACTCTGATCACGTTAAGTCTCTTAAGTGAATTCGTAGCCTGAGACTGAGTTTACTGCAGTAACAAATCTTCAAAACTGGCTTCTTTTGAAGTGAGACATGCAAATTTGAAGTGGTCGCAGTGTTTTTCTAAGTGAAACTTTAGTCAAAGGTGAGCTACGGAAACTCTTGTCATATTTCCTTGACAAGCAGAGGCCACACCGCAGCTGCCAAATCCGGGGATTGGACTCCTTGGATTTACTGTTGCCTGGTTAATCTCATTACAAGCATGAATTAAAGGGAAAAATTGCTGACAACTTAGATGGAGCCCTGAGGAGGTCATATCAGACAAGACAGAAGTATTGTCTAGCCTTTCCTAATCCCCTCACAAAACACACATGAGCTAAAGCCATGCAAATACTGTCAGTTGCATGAAGCAGATTAGATTTCGTGACAATAAGTGCCGAGTTGCAGATATCACTAGTTTAAGAAATGCTTGTGGTCATAAACTCACATGACAAAGTGTTGATTGAAAGGATGAGTATTAATTTATATGTGCAAACGCAAAAAATATGCAAGAAGCCAATCCGGAAATACTCAGTGAGCGCTATATGCAAAATCTGGGCTAGTTATCATGTTAATTATTTGGATTTCAAGGTTGTCCTTTAATCGTATTGGCCTCTAGATTATCCACATACGGGGAAAAAAGATGCATGGCAATATTTAGCATATTTAATATTTAGTTTTGTATTTTTTGTGGGTTTTGTGGGTAACAGTAGCTTTACTCATATATGACACTTTTACAAAATGCATTGGCAGAAAAGCAAAAGCAGAACGGCAAATTCCAATAGAAAGCTGGACATTAAAAACAGGATAAAACTAAACATAAGACAGGACGTCCTATAACATCACTGAGTTTGTGACAATTAAAGACATAAAACTGTTAGATGGGAACGTACAGAGAAAATCAATGAGTGTAAAATACTGAAAGAGGATGTTTTCATCCACCTACCTTTAGGTTCACACTGCTGAGCAGAGATTGAAGATGCCGGTGTCTCAATTCCAGAAAAATGAAAAAGCCAATAAACTAAAATCAAGTTAAAAATGTTTCCCAAAAAGTTTTTGGCGAGCTCACAGATCTTCGTCTTTCCCTCTTTCACGTCCAACTAAATGGCCTCCTTAGACTTCTGGCCAAGTGGTTTGAGTTCAGTCTGCTGCCAGCTAACTGCCTTAACTAAAAAAGACCTGTTAAATACTGATTCATTTCATCTCCATTAGCTGGCCTTATCTCCTGTTTTAAGCCCTCCCTGCCCTGACATCACTATGATCTCCCATCCAACTGCTTGCTGCACCTTGCAACTGATGTGTAATTACTGAAGCAGCACTGGCCCTAAGCATGGAGTGCTAAACCTCTTTCAACGTTCACCTCACTAATCCCTTGTTAGCACTTTAGGCCATAGTTAAGACACCTAAATGCTTAGCTTCCTTTTCCAGTAGTTAAGTGACCAACCCGTCCTTAGCTGCTCTGTGGCCACCTGCAGGGAAACTGCATGGCGCAGGTTGCAGACCTCCTACTGCTCTAGTTTTTGTTGTTTGTTCACATGTCTAGTTTGAATGTCAGAAGTATTGCTCTCCACAGGGTGCCAAAGGGCTGACCCAAACATGCTTGGTGGTAATTTGGCAGAAATCCGACTAAATGTTGGCCAGATCATCCTCTCAGACCTCTTAATCTGACAGTTTGTGCTCACCAGCCGCTTACAGCATAGAGCTGCACTTCTAGGAATGATGTTTTCCTTAATGCCTGGGGTTTGTGGGGGGTGGAGGGACACAGGTGGTGGGTTGGTAGGACATTTTAAATGGAGTGGGACAGTCTGGTGCTTCTGTATCTCTTTGCAAGGAAGCAATGAGCCTCCAGAGAGCTGAGCACTCTGACTGCTCATCATATACATGCCAAATACATCAGTTAAAGGCAAAAAGGGAAAAGTAGAGACTTTTAACTATTTATTTTTATATACAGTGGACCAAAAATGTTAGAATCCACCACCAATGAGATGTTACTAATGTGTTAGGTTTTTATTTTTTAATGTAAACTCACATTTAACAGTGCTAAATCAACCAAATTCCCATGCAATACTGCAGAGGTCACATCATCAGTGTAAGTGCTTCTCAGCAGTGATTGCACTGCACTATAAAGCCTGATTGTAACTGCATTACAAGTTTTAAAAAAATACAATTTAAGTGATTTAACATCAGTTTAACACGTGACAATTCTTCATTTTCCTTGTAAAGGAAGGTTTCTTCCAGAGAATTTCATCCTACCATAGGTGTGACCAACAATCTCAGCCGTGGGCAAAAGATGGCACCCAGTTTTATTTACACGGTGCATCAGTGGTTCTGTGTCACTCCACAACAGCAGTACTAATTAGTATAACACTCAAACTGCACATAACACTTCTTCTGTGGAGTTTGCATGTTCTCCCTGTGCCTGCATGGGCACCAGGAGAACCCTGTGGGTACTCTAGCTATCTCCTAGAGTCCAAAGATATGCATGTTACATCAGCTGATTAGTAGGTGTAAATGTGAGCATGCATAATTATCTGAGTATCATCTGAGCTCTGCGATAGACTCGTGAACCTGTCCTGGGTGTATCACACCTTTCTTTCAGGGTTAGCCAGAGTTCTCAGGGCTGTCTTTAAACTTTTTTATTTGCGTTAAATACTATAACATGGACTAGCCCAGGGTTGGGCAATCTCAGTCCACGAGGGCCGGTGTCCCTGCAGGTTTTAGATGTGTCCTCGAACCAACACAGCTGATTTAAATGGCTAAATTAGCTCCTCAACGGCTGTGTCCCAATTAAGAGACTGCACGCTTGAAGTACGCGCACTACGCGCACTACGTACGGTGCGTACTATAAGTACGAGAAGTGCGGAAGTGAGAGGCTTGTGAAATGGGACGGTATACGCTTCGTCGCGCTGTTCAGGTTGCCTAGCAACCATGACACGAACCGCGAGACACGTTACATACAGCTTTGTTTGACAGAAATGAAGGAGAAAAATGTTTTGTTGGTCATTCATTTTTGTCATGACATCACTTTAGTTGAGTATCTGAGGCTGAGACCACGGGACTGTAAAACATGATTGTTGGGCTTCATTTCTGTGCTGAACAGTCATTTAAGATTAGTTAGTAAATAACAATTAGTTAATGTTGTTCATGAGACTAAAGTCAACTCACTGTGGCAATGTAAATATAATATGGCCAATATTATAGTATTGTCAGATTATTATGATATGCAACATATTGTGTTATACATCATTTTAGGTGATAAAATACACTAAACTAAGAGTATCAGATGAACCAGCTGAAGTAACATTATTTAGTATTCCTATGTTTTTTTTTAATTGGGCCAGCATATTTCTTGTGTGTTTAAGCAGTGATTTGGGAGACAACTAAGTTCTTTTTAAAAAAAAATAAAAACAACAGCATTAATAAAGTACTTAAGAATTAAGAGAACAAAGCATTAGGACATCTAAACCGCTAATTTAGGAATCTCCTGGGGTAAGCTTTTTATAAGGGATTTCTGTCCAAGTTGCTTGCACCCAGTATTATGGAGTCACAGTGAGGCAAAGGGATCAGAGCAGGTTTAACCTTAAGAAACGGGTCTGGCTATAAATTCACTGGGTCAGTACAGACACCATCCATCTTCTAATTACAGCAACAATCTGGTGTCCGGATCACCTGCCTTTCCTGTCTTCTTCTCCACACCAAATGACGACTGTACTGAAGCCGTAATCCCTCTAAGTTGGAAGCATTACGTCTTTTGTGGCTGGGGGAAATCTTGTTTAGGTCTTGATTACTGTGAGATATAGTAGGATTCTTCAGGATCAAGATTCCCTGAAATAACAGTTTGTGTTGGAGTTCCTGAACAAAAACTGTGAAGATGTGCTGATTTTATACATTTGAACTTAAACAATGAATCCAAAAAAGATATTGTTGTGTGTCTGACTGGAGGAAACATTGAAAAAGGTTTCAATTATTTTAGCATATCTGGAGGTTAGAGTTAGTTTTGTGTGTGACACATCAGGTATGTTGTGTCAAGGCTATCCGCAAAAATAGGTCTCTTCACATGTACACTAGAAAACTGTGTTGTTCTGCAATGACAAATTAGATGAAGTTAAAAAAAATCGGCAAATTTAATAAAAAAAATGAAAACCGATTCATGGTATTGTGTTAATAGAACCTGACAAATAACAGATTTCTAAGACTAAAACCAACACCGATATTTAACAATTTAATATATTGGCCATTTTTATTTCTTTCAGAGATCCGAAACATAAAACGATTTCCATAAAATTTGTCATATGCAATTATCCCATGTTTTAGCAGTTAAGATGTATTTATGAATATTTTTGTTTTTATTGAATTGAAAAAAGGTTTTGTAGTATACAATAATGATGAATGATGACTTGTTATCATTAAGTTATGATTAATCAGTAAGAGCACCTGCTGTTTTCAGACAATCCTTTGCAGCCCTCTTATCTCCTCTGCACACCAGTTCCAGTCACTAGATGGGGCACACACAAGCAAAGGAAGCCATCTTATATTATACATAATCACCTTTGGTTCCCACTATATTTTTCTTTAACTGTTATTCAACAGTCAAGTTCTGCATACTTATCTAACTTTCACACGAAACTAATCTCTTTCTGTCTGAGGCCCCAATTCTGGAGTAGTTGAGAATGGGACCAGATGTTGAGCATCTCATACCTGCTTCCTCAAAATAACCTCACATGCTAATAGCAAGGCGGGGCTGATCACGGCAGGTGTATAAACATTGAATGAAAACACAGAGAGTCACTACTACCCAGTAAAACAGGCAAGTGAGTAACACCCGCATGTACCCCCTGTTGTTTATGCTTTATCTTTAAAAGCTGACAAACTTTTTTTCATTGTTCTTTACAGGTTGTGGAGAAAAATGAATGCCATCCAGGTGATTTCCCTCACTTGGCTGTCCATTGTGGCAGCCGGTGCTCAGTCTATAAAACCAGGAAGATGCCCCGTGCCTGCCGTTCAGGAGAAATTTGATGCTGCAAGGGTGAATACCAAACTCCTCACTCTGAGCTGTATTTTAATTTATCTTCATTAAGGTAAACTGGGATGTCCAGTGTGCACATCTGCCTCACAAACAAAACCAATTCAACTCCCTCTACAGTATCTTGGTAAATGGCATGAGATCCAGAGACTGTCGAACAGCTTCCAGAAGGGCCAGTGCAGCACTGCCACCTACAGCCTGCAAAGCCCAGGAGTCGTTGGTGTCCTCAACAAGGAGCTGCTGTGAGTACTTCAGTGCCTGAGAGCACTTTGGATAACATCCGTTATCCGAAAAATGTTTGTACAAGTCAGAGTCTTTGTCCTGCACCATTTCTCTGGAATACATGTAAAAGATAAAGATATGGATATATCCATGGTGCTGTGTGTGGTGCTGGAAGGGCAGACAGATTTGTGTCCTCTCAGTCCTGCTCTTCAGTCTCTTCTTGGATTTAAAATATCATTCACAATAAATGGTTATTCCTCAAACCTCAGACTGCATCTGAAAAATATTTTAGGTGAGACACAGTTTAGGTTTTACCATAATGTATAACCAGTAAATGAATAAGTCTATAGAGAAGATGGATTCATCCTAAAATGAATCCAATCCATAAAAGTTTACCACTCAAGCTCAGTTTAAATGACTCTGTGCAGTCAGTGGTGCTTAATCGAGCCTTCTGCTGACACTTTTTTTTTCAGTTCTGTTTTAACACGATTCTCTCTTGATATTGTGTTTTAATTGTTGTGCAGTGCTTTGCGACTTTCATGTCTGTGAAAAGCGCTACATGAATGAACTTAATAAAGAACCCCCCCACCCCAGCCTTGTCTGATTGTTAATGGCTGTGGTGTTCTCTGACTACCAGCCCACCCTTTAAGGAAATGACAAATCACCTGCTGACTTGAGACCTGAGAACTTGAATTTTACATGTACAAACAAATAATACTAAATAAAATGAAAAGTACTTTTGAAGAGTAAATATGTTGCTTTGACTCTGAACAGTCTGAATATAAAAAGTATTTTTTTAACTTTTAACTGTTTATCTGCTTAAGTCCTGACGGTACCATTGACAGCATCAACGGCACTGCCAAGGCCGCAAGTTCATCTGAGCCTGCCAAGCTGCTGGTCACCTTCTTTGAGAGTATGGACCCTTGTTTTTTGTTTTTACACACATATTAAACATTTTAAACTGGAGAGCTGAATTGTACAAAAATCCCTTTTACACACCTTCAGACACCCCTCCTTCCCCGTACTGGGTTCTGTCCACCGACTACGACAACTTCGCCCTGGTCTACAGCTGTACTGAAATCGAATCGTTACATGGGGAGTTCATCTGGATCCTGAGCAGAAATCCCAGCCTTCCTAAGGAGACCCTGGAGGAGCTGCAGAGCATCCTGTCATCTTTTGGAGCCAGTGTGGAGAAGCTGCTTGACACCAATCAGGACAGAGATTACTGCAGAGTCATGCACGAGTAAACATGTGCTGTGGTTATCACTGAATGTCTCCATGATAGGTCAATGCATAAAAAAAAAAAAAAAAAAAAATTGGGCCTACTGTCAGATATAATACAAGATTAATTAATATGCTAATATTACACCTGTCACACCTGGAGAAGAGAGACACGTATGTGAGAATGCTGTTTGTAGATTACAGCTCAGCATTCAATACCATCGTTCCCTCGAAGCTGGACAGGAAACTGCAGGATCTAGGACTGAGCAGCTCCCTCTGCAGCTGGATCCTTAGCTTCCTGTCTGACAGACGCCAAGTGGTCAGACTGGGCAGCATCACCCCATCCCCCGTCACACTGAACACTGGTGCTCCACAGGGGTGTGTACTGAGCCCTCTCCTATACTCACTCTACACCTACGACTGCACAGCCACTAACAACTCCAACATCATTGTGAAGTTTGCGGACGACACTACAGTGGTGGGTCTTATCACCAATGGTGATGAGACGGCTTACAGGGAGGAGGTCAGCGCCCTGACCCACTGGTGTCAAGACAACCATCTCACCCTCAACGTCGCAAAGACAAAGGAGTTGATAGTGGACTTCCGGAGGTGCAGAGAAGTACACACCCCCATCACCATCAACGGCGCTGCTGTGGAGAGAGTGAGCAGCTTCCGGTTCCTTGGTGTACATCTGGCTGAGGATCTTACGTGGTCAGTACACACAAACAAAACAGTGAAGAAGGCGCAGCAGCGCCTCTTCTTTCTCAGGAGACTGAAAAGATTCGGCATGAGCCCCCGCATCCTCAGGACCTTCTATCACTGTGCCATTGAGAGCATCCTCACTGGATGCATCACCACCTGATATGGCAACAGCACCGCCTACAACTGCAAAGCTCTCCAGCGAGTAGTGCGGTGCTCTGAACGGATAATTGGAGGTGAGCTTCCCTCCCTCCAAGACATCTACAGGAAGCGGTGCCTGAGGGAAGCGGGGAGGATCATCAAGGACTCCAGTCACCCCAGCCATAAACTGTTCAGACTACTTCCATCAGGAAGGAGGTTCTGCAGCATCCGGTCCCGTACCAGCAGACTGAGAGACAGCTTTTTCCATCAGGCCATCAGACTGCTGAACACTTCATAGACACCTCAGCTTCACTACTGGAACTTTAACATTATGCACTCCATACTGTACAGTAATGCCACTGTTTTGCACATGTCTCACTCTGTATATTTTATTTTATTTATTTTATATATTTTATTTATTGTTTACTCTATTTAATTTGTAAAATATGTGTACACACACACACACACACACACACACACACACACACACACACACACACACACACACACACACGTAGAAAAATATTTAGTATACACATCCAGAAATGCATATACTATTATATATTGTACATATATTTATTAGTTTCAGATGTAGCCATTCTTGTATTTTGCTTGTTTACATTATTGTATTTTGCACAACTCTGTTGCTTGTGAAGCTCGCACACAAGAATTTCACTCACATGTGCTGTACCAATGTACCTGCACATGTGATGTGACAATAAAAGTGATTTGATTTGATTTGATTTGATTTAATATAATATCTGCTTGAACTCTTTGGTCAATATTTATATTGTTGCACCAATAAAAGTGGACCATTCTCTCTGCATTCCTTTTGTTTACTGTCTCAATATACAGCTGCTGACACTGACACACAACTGAACCAACACACATCTTTAAGGACAGCTGCATTAGAGTGAATTAACTTTATTTGGGGTAACTTTATTTCACCTAATAAATACATTCATTTAAGGCAATTTTCTATTTTTAAAATTGTGCTTTAGTGAAGCTGGGATCAAACTGGGGTACATTTGTGTCTGTGAGCCGGGGTGGAGTCAGTGGCACACATCAAGAATGACAAAAAGGGATAAAAAGGATTTTAAGCGGTGGTCAGGGTACACATTATTAATGAAGTATTTAAAATTGGGCTTTAAGTGACTTTTCTCTCCTTTTTTAGTTTCCTTCACCTTGTTCCCTAGAATAGGTTTTTGCTTTTTTATGTCTAAATCTTTTAACTGGAGCTGCTCATTTGTTAGGTTTCATCCTCATCCTCTTTGCCTTCACTGTTGCTTAATGGAGATGAAATTGGGCTTTTAAAAAAAAAAAAAAGTCTGTTTTCCTTCATGGAGCACTTTGTTTTTTAAGTGGCAATAAAAATAAAGTGTATCATTAAGTTTTATTAGGAAAAAAGACAAAAAAAACAAAAACGTCACGTGACTGACATCTAACTTTGCAACTCTGAAATTAACCAGTGAAAGGAAGAAGGCTAAAAACATGCTTTTAAGAAGGAGTCGAGCCCCATCAGCAGTAAGTAAAGTTGAAAAGAAAAGTGCTGAAGGTGAAAGCGAAATTGGGACTTTTGTCTTCTGGGCATTGTTGGAATTTAAATCCTAGTTTTAGATTTTAAAAGGTGCAGATTGTGTTTGCAATGTCAAAATGGACAACATGAAATTTCTTCACACAGCTTTATTGTTGCATTGTCTTTGCATGCAATCATTGTGCCTCACAGTCCTGTGGGCTGAAGTAGGAGCGTACCTTAACTGGTTCACTGGTTAACTGGGCTGCAGTAAGTCTCGTCCTGGTTGGTGGGGACCATGTTTTCCACGCTTACTCCGACAGAGTACAGGATGCCTTGGAGCTTCTCGAGGGTCTCCTTAGAGAGGGTGGGCTTCCTGCTCAGGATCCAGGACAGCTCCACACGGAACAGGCCGTAGTCGGTGCAGCCGTAGACCAGAGAGTGACCGTCGTAGTCGGTAGACAGAACCCAGTAGGGGCCGGGAGGAGAGTCTGCAGGAGAGGTGAAAACAGCAGGGATATGTGGCTCACTTGAATCTGTCATGACTGAAATTGAAAGTCATTTATGACAACTTACTGTTGAAGGAGACCTCAAGCTTGGAAGGCTCAGCGGGGTTCTTGACTTTGGCAGAGCCGACGATGGCGTTAACGGTTCCATTATCGCTAATAAAATGAAACATGAAATAGAAATTAATTCTACTCGTGTACTTTCCTTCAATTATATATTTTTTCTACAAAATGCTCTCTTTGTATAACTCTGGAACAGTACAAAGGTTCAGCCAGTGACCCTGCGCGTTCATGAGGCATGAGTTTTGTTCCGGGACGTTGAAAACATCTGAAGCAAAAATTGTCTAGAACGAGGATTTAAAAAACAGAAGCAAGCAGTTGTACGGTAATGCTGTTTTTAGTAGAATGAAGCGTTGGTGTGAAGAATAAAAAGCCCTCAGATTATTACAATTATGTCAAGGACCATGTGTCCTTCTGAGTTTATGCAGAAGTTTTCTTAAAAATTAAAACATTTTCAAAGTGTCAGATCTAAACGGAAATATTTTAGCTGCTCACAGAAGCTCAGTGTTCAGGACCTCGATGACTCCAGGACTCAACAGGGTGTAGTTAGCAGTGGCACACTGGCCTTTCTGGAAGCTTGTGGGTAACTTATGGATCTCATACCATTTTCCAATGTACTGTAGAGGAAGCACGAGATTCGGAGAGCCCGTAATTAATATTTTGTGTTTGTAGGAAAAGCAGGTGTATAGATATCATCTGTATGTCCCACAACATAAACAGTAGAAGAGGAAAAAATTTAGTGTTCACCCTGTTGGCGTCAAAGTTGGCCTGAACAGCAGGCTGGGGACATTTGCCCAACCTCAAGACCTGAGCGCTGATCGCAACAACAGACAGTAGAGTCAATGCAACCACCTGTGCAGGCTTCATCTTCTCACCTCAACCTGCAGAGAATAAAAAACAAACAGCAAGAGTTCATGCTGGAGTTCACTGAGCAAAACATGATGTGAGTGTCAGTTAGTGACAGAAAGAGCCTGAGATGTGAAAAGAATGAATAAATGTAGAGAAGAAACAAAGAATCACGGCCACTGACTGTTTATTTGCAGGTAATCAGCTGTGTGAAAGAACTCAGCCTCTGAGGTTCTTTTAAAGATTCAGATGCTTGCATCACTTCATTATCGATCATGGGTCCCACCTCTGTGTCATGATAGGGGGCCAGTGTGAGCGCTGGCACCTGTTCAAATAAATACTCTGTTCAAACAGTAACAGGTTGGTCATGTAATCACATCGTTGGGTTTGTTGGATCTCTTGGATCACTGCTCCCTCCTTCACATTTATTTTTTCCTGAAAGACAGACAACAAATATGAAGATGAAAATCAAAATTACTGAAGTTACACTCAAAAAATGATAAGTTAGCAGCTGCTTATATTTGCACCTATAAATATTTTAAAAAATGTATTCCCCAAAATGTGATCATAAAACCTAATTTCCTGCACATTTTACAGAAACAGAGACAACACAAACCTGGACTTTAAACTGAGCTGTTATTTTAAACTTGATTTTACTTAACATGGTTTCATTTGTTAGTTCCTCAAATATATATATTTTTCATATTTTTCTGCCTTCCTAATCTGTGAGGCACCTTAAAGACACTAACCTGCATGAAACTTCATGCATATTTAGTAATGGAGGAAAGGACCCCAAATGCTGACTCACAGGTAGGCGTCAAAAGAAAACAAGCTTTTATTCAAGTTGAAGGAATAAATGTGGGGGAGCTAGGAAGTAGGGAACAAAGGATCCCTGACACAGGGTGACACACGGGGCAAACGGGTGGCAGACACAACGGGAACAAATCAGGGATAATGAGACACAGGAAAGTAAAATTAAATAGAAAAAGCACGAGACCAAGGCTACAAAAATAAAACAGGAAGTGACTAAACAGGGGAACATCCTTGACTGAGTCTTGACAACACATGGGGAACACCAAGGAGGCAAGGTAAACTGAAAGAAGGAATATTATAAACAATAAACATAGCAGCAACGGGAACAAAAACTAAACACAGCAACTAAGAAACAAACTCAAGACAAAACAGTGATGAAGCCAAAAGTGTGTCAATGGCCCAGTGACTGTGACACAAAGAAAGTCTGACTTTTAGCTGTTTTAATTTTCACTTTAATTAAATCCAGACAAAAAGAGGCACAACCCTGTGGTTTGGTATGGAAAAGATCATGTCTGTGAAATTATTGTTTCTGACAGAAAACTGATGATAAACTTCTCCAGTTGCAGAGGAAACAGGCTGCCTGGCACTAAAAAAATAAAAATAAAAATGAAAAGAACTGATATCCAGGAAGTCATACTTGCTAACTGCAGCCCTGCACAACTGCAAATGTTTCACAGGAAAAGAGGAACGAGACACAGGAGACTGGGGGGGCACAGTCACTGCTCAAAATACAGTATATGTATTATTATGAGGGTGGCAGACAAAGGCACAAAGGCATGGACCAGCAACAGCTTGAAAGGTCATAAATGAGGAGACCGAGTGTGGGAACATGCAACAAGGAGAGGAAACACAATGAAGATTTGTATGAAAAGAACCAGTGATTCAAATTTATTTACACCCTTAAAGCGGAGCTAAAGGTTTAGTGATAGAGTGGCTCTGTCCAGGCAGACATTTGTTTCATCTACTGAACTACATCTGACAGAGATTCTCTGGGATGTTGTAAAACACATATCATCATACTGAATCATGAAATGACCCAGACTCTAAAGAGGCTATTTTCAGGTAACCTGAGATGACGTGTAAGATGAAGCGTGTCTGTGTCCTCATCCGACATCAAACAGATTTTGCAGCCAGCGTCAGTCTTTCCACCTTCAGACAAAAGTGCAGCATGAGGTCGGTGCTTACTGCATCTCCTCTCGCCAAGCACACACAGGTGTGTGAAAAACACGACCCGAGCTCAGGTGTCCCCGCTTTTCTGGACGCTTTGCTCCCACTGCAGCTCTCTCTGCTTCTGGACTCACTTTTCATCTCTTTAACAAAGGGCTTTGAGTGCCTTGAAATGCACTCAGACAGGAAGTGGGTTGAGGCTGACGTAGTTTTTGTGGGTTTGTCATAAAAGGGATTTACATAAAAGAATCAGACAGGGAGCAGCAGGGCTTGAAAAACTAATTAAAAACATTTAAAATTTAGAGATCATTACATGGAGCAGAAGAATGATTGAAAACAGCAGTGTATCGTGATAAATTGCTGCGCTCATTTTGGAATATTAAATGATTAATTATTACTTTTATCTACAGTCTGCTTTGTGATTGGCCTTGTAGAAAATAAAACTGTTGTCTCGAGATATTCCAAGTCTCATTTCAGACAGAAAAATTGCATCACATCTCTGGAGAAAGTGTTTTGCAAACCGCCGTCCGAAGCATTTTACAGCAGAGCTGCCCTTTGATTCAGAGCTGTTCATTTAAATCGTCTGAGACTGAAAGATCAAACTGTGAGACTTTTATTCTTTGCAATCCAACCAGAGTCCAAAAGCTGGTGATGCTCGGCACAGTGGTTCTCTCAGCTAAGTGCTAATGCCAGCAGGCACATTTAAGATGTTCTTGTCCTGGAGGAAATTTGACCTGATTATGAAGAATAAAGTCACCTGTGTTATTAACATCTACTGTCATGACAGTCGGACCTGAGAGGGAGGTGAATATTAGAGTATTTTACACAAGAGTTGAAAAAATATTCTCCAAAGTCAGAGCAAACTGGGGCTCAACTTTTTAGTTTTCTGGAAACGTTATAAAACAGGTGGATTTTTTACACACTTGCACCACAAAACATGATGATATTCTTCCATAAAGTAATAAAAGAAACACAGTTTAACTGATTTACCTTATCTTTACTCAAAAAACAGGTTTTCATTTAGTTCAGTTAAGCTAGATCCTGTGATGTTTTTTTCTGTATAACCTGTGAACCTGTGTTAGTTTGTGTTTTGGCAGAGAGTGGAACTCATCATCATCATCATCATCATCATCATCATCATCATCATCATCATCATCATCATCATCATCATCATCATCTCAGCCATGTTTGATATGTTAAAGACACCACATACTGTATAAGCTTAACCAAACACTCCCCAGTCTCAAATAAGTTGTTTTCAAACTTGGCAACACTGCACATAAAGTATATCAGAAAAAAGGAAAAATTAACATTTGATGATTTAGGTTTTCCATATTTGAATAAAAGTGGGAAGCAGTGCACAGTTAATTAATCCCACTTCATCTCCACAGGTCATCAGCTGTTATGTCTCCAGCTTCTTTATTGATGGGAATCTGAATAACAACAGGCTACATATTTCTAATTTGTTCCCTATTTGAAACACTAAACATTATCATATATAGGCTTTACAGCTCCACAATTTCACTTCCACATAACAAAGACAAATTCCTCCAATTCTGGAGTGTCGATTGCAGTGAACAACACATTTGTTTAATAACTGCATAAAGGCAAAATAACCATAAGTGCTGGTAAAATCCTGTTTTTCATTTGATTAAATACATAAAAATAAGGGTGCTTTGCTATTTTTCTTATATCACATATTAAGTTTTTTATCACTTGGCCCCGAGGTGTTTGTGTTTAATTTAATTTAGCCGTGAATGCTCCATTCGGTCATTTTTCATGAAAGGAATCTGCTTCATGAGACTTAAAAAAAAAGAGAAAAGTCTTTTTAAGGCCAATTAAATCCCTGAAATGACGAGCCTGTTTTAATTTTCATTAACATGAAGAAACATGCAGATTTCTTAATTAGCCGACGGCAACGGGAAGCAACCACTTTCAGTTTTAAATTATTGTTCAGGAAGATTTGAGATCATGTTCTGTGACCGTATTCTAATTATTTCATGAAATTAATGATAGAGAAAAAGTGTCGGACACAATAATGATAACAGACAATTTATTGCAGCAGAACAGACGCCCAACAGCAAAGGAATATTTGGTGTGTCTGACAGATTTTGTTGTGGTTTGTTCTTCTGTTGCTCGAGGTTTTGGACTGAGCTGCCATTAAAACTTTGATTAATCCACAACCCACTCACACACAGTCGTATTCGGTCACACATATACAGAACTGAATTTGTGTTTCTTTGTGGTTGTTTTCTATCATTCAACTGATTTTCAGACTAGAAGAGTGAAGTCAAAGCATACAAAGGCTCTGAATGCAGGGCCCTGAGGCATGACATAGATCCCACACCAAACTCTCCTGGAGGCTGACAGTGTTTTAGTCTTCCCTGAATGTGAATGTCACACCATATAATTGTTCTCTATTAGACAAACTCAGTCAATTAAAGCAAAGAAAATGATTTCAGTTTTGTGTTCCCTCACTATATTGTCCCCTCTCAATAAATACTCTTTCTGTTAGACCAAAAGTCCCCAGTCATGTTGATGTGTTGCCAAACTTAAAAACAAAGTCTCTTTTGAATACAGCACTGGCTTCACAGCAGTGAAAGTTTGCACGTAAATTTGTGAGCTTTGTTGTTCTTCAGCAGAAGGACATTTTCTCAAGCTCTAACTATAGTGCATATGTACATTGCACTATAGTTAGAGCAGTGTGTTCTCTTCCACATGTTTAACCCACAGCATGCTTGTGTGCACAGCTGCGGGAGCCCCAGCGTGACATGAAATGCACATAACAGCGGCTGTCACGCAATGCTGACAGATCATATTAATGTTGCTTCTGGTAAAGCTTCGTCAGAAGCAACATGCGGTACAAATTATAATTTTTTATTAGCTTATAATTTCTGGGCTGAATATATTTATTTGTGAGCAGTTTGAAGATGACGCTTACGCATTTGAAGAAGCGCATTTCTCTGCAATGAACAAAAGTAATGCTGTCACTCATGACATTAGAAGAAAAAGAGGCAAAAAAGCAGTCATGTTGGATTTCT